TCAAAGAAACAGTAGCATTTTTTTTTTTGTCAGTTGTCGTTTTCGATAATTGTGTTTTTCCCCACTGCTCTGCGGATATGTGCATATACATGAGACCTACTTCTTTTGGCGCTGGATATAGACTTCATATTTCATAATCATCCTGTAGATCATAAATGACAATAGGATTATGATGTTGATTCATCTTGTTGTAACCTTTTGTTACTGATTATGGTGTGTTCATGTGAGCAGATTACACCGTTTGCAATGCTTTCACGCTCGGCAGCTGGAATTAGAGGCTCAACATTGGTAAAACCCTTCAGTTTTTCGTTCTTTTTTTCCTTTTTAATAAGATCAATAATATCCAAGTGATTTCATTTATTTATTCGACATGGTCATCAAAATAGTAAATCATTCTGAAGGTTTCTCCTGAAATAAATTTCACAAATATCATTATAATACTTTAGTTTATTTTCCCAAAAAGAAACACTGACATGTTAACTTTAGGTTCATTGGGATTTTTTTAATTTCATATGTTTGAAGAAAGTCAATCTATCGTATTAATTTTTTGTTTTATTGAATGATAGATAATAAACATGCCGGGAAATCCAAATGCGGTTGCTGAATGCATGGAGGCTTTATTACCTGCGCTTAAGCACGCGTTAAAACAGATAAAAGGGGACAAGCGAGAAAAACATCCTCGTCATGTACCTCATGCACAGGCTGCTCCTATTGACACTTGGGAACATAGCTATAAATCGGCTTCGGGCGACAATCAAGAAAAGGGCTGTTCTTGTTCCCATTAATTGCTTCCAGCCTCCGGGTACAGTCTTTGTTCTCTTTTACACAGTTGGTGTGAAATTAATTAACATTAAGGGCATGATTTGATAAATAATCTCTCTTATACTTTTACATCACATCAACTAATTATTACATTTTTCTGAATCACAACATGATTAACATGATTTCTGTTACAAAAAAAAAAAGGCCATCTCCATCATTGACTATTATTATTATTATTATTATTATTATTATTATTATTATTATTATTATTATTATTATTATTATTATTATGCAGCAGGAAATCCAGTAAGAAAGGCAAGTGGCACCCACCTTTTTTACTCGGGACTTATTCTCTAGGCTATTTTCTGGGGTGAACAGAATATCGAACCATGAACGAAGAAAGGCATGAGAGAAAAGCTTGTTGGAGAACATGGCAAGAGGCCTATGGTGTGCTGGTTGCTTGGGAACAAGATGACCAGCTTCTCTTACTGTTACATATGTCAACCTTGTTTGTACCAAACACATATCACCTTTGTTGTCTTGTTAATCTCCCACTGTTGTAATAACTGCTATGCACCTTTGAGAATAAATGAGGACATTTGCTCCATCATTTTCAAAGTTTGACCTTAAAGAGGGATTTTTCTTCACAGACGTGTTAATTAGCAAAGAGTTCAGAACTTCTGGATATACTTGGATCTTTTTTGGCAGTTTTATGCTAAATCTCGAGGTTAACAGTTGTAATCAGGTTTGTTACTCCTAATAAACATGTAAAGATGATGTTTTAAGTTCTCACTTGATGCTACGGTTAGCATCTCCCCCGATTCATCCTCTTTGGTGCTTTTATAAGGGCGAGTGCCCTTTCGGTCTTCATTGTAAATTCTCCTTTTTTGAAGGAATATAAAATTTATCATTTCGTAAAAAAAAAAGTTCTCACTTGATTCTTGAACTACCATGTGCTCCTAGGAGTCTAGGTCGGCAATTTAAGGTTGTTGATCGCGTGTGGTTGTAGAAGGAAAACGTGAATCTATATCACCACTTGCCTAAAGGTATTGTTAATGTTATGGATATGAACTATCAGGCCTTTGTAGTTGTGAGACTACGGGGTAGACGTCGCCATTTCCTGGTTCTGGGCCGAGGGTTGGAGGGTCTTGAACGCCCGAACATATGCAGGGCTAGTTCAGTGAGACGTTGGTTCTGCGCCAGCCTGCTGTATTTGAAAAAATAATTAAAAAATATTTTTTTTTCGTTTTTTTTTTTTAAAGGGCCGAGCGAATTGTTGGTCCCGGTATGGAATTGGCCCCGGTAATTAAAAGACCACAAATATGTGGCACGGAATAGGCCCGGTCAAACTACGGGCTCTGTTCAAGGCTCATTGACCACGGGTTGGTTTTGGGCTGAATCGACGAGCCTGGTCGGGACCATGTCTACTTAGCGGTAAATGGATATATATATAT